AAAAAAAAAAAAAAAGAAACGGGCTGGTTAGACAGATAGGAGCTCAGAACCCAAATCTGACAATATTCTGTGTAAACACAGCATGTGACAGGTGCTTGAAATGTCACTGGTGACATTTGCTGATGCTCATCTTCTATTCATGGTGGTACTTGAGCTAAAACTGTCTGGACGGCCTTCCTTCCTTCCTTCCTTCCTTCCTTCCTTCCTTCCTTCCTTCCAGATTTTATTTATTTACTTGAAAGAGAGAGAGAGAGTGAGCAAGAGGGAGAACATGAGCAGGGGGAGGGAGAGAAGCAGACTCCCTGCTGAGCAGGGAGCCCGATGCGGGACTTAATCCCAGGACCCTGGGATCATGACCTGAGCAGAAGGCAGTCACCTAACCAACTGAGCCACCCAGGCGCCCCAGGATGGTGTTTTTGTAAGAACAAGACCTTGTCATGTTTCCGTAGTTTGATGCTGGGAAGCCAAATACAGGCCCAGAGATTGGACTAAACACGGGCTGTTGGTGGGCCACGTCCTCAGGTGATTTTGCAGAGTTAGTAGGGTAAGTAGGAGCCAGGGAGACAGCGTTTCCAGGCAAGAGCTATAAGATTTTCATGAAGCCAAAGGCAAACTGGGTCAGATTTGTGTAAAAGCAAGAAGTCAGACATTACAAATAAAGTTTAACACACTTTATTGCTTTTTTTAAAAATTTTATTATGTTGTGTTAGTCACCATACAATACATCATTAGTTTTTGATGTGATGATCCACGATTGATTGTTTTCGTATAACACCCAGTGCTCCATGCAGTACATGCCCTCCTTAATACCCATCACCGGGCTAACCAACCCCACCCCCCCAAAACCCTGTTTGTTTCTCAGAGTCCATAGTCTCTCATGGTTCATCTCTCCCTCCAATTTCCCCCCTCCTTCATTTTTCCCTTCCTTCTCCTAGTGTCCTCCATGCTATTTCTTATGTTCCACAAATAAGTGAAACCATATGATAATTGACTTTCTCTCCTTGACTTACTTCACTTAGCATAATCTCCTCCAGTCCCATCCATGTTGATGTAGAAGTTGGGTATTCATCCTTTCTGATGGCTGAGTAATATTCCATTGTATATATGGACCACATCTTCTTTATCCATTCATCTGT